CGGAAAAGGGTGGCTTGTTCCCTTCAGGTTGGTGGAGAGTTCCTGCCTCAAGTGGAGGAGTTCAAGTATCTTGGGGTCTTGTTCACGAGTGAGGGAAGGATGGAATGGGAGATTGACAGGCGGATCGGTGCAGCTTCTGCAGTAATGCGGTCGATGTACCGGTCCGTCATGGTGAAGAAGGAGCTGAGCTGTAAGGCAAAGCTCTCGATTTACTGGTCAATCTACGTTCCGACTCTCACCTATGGTCAGGAGCTTTGGGTCATGACCAAAAGGGCAAGATCCCGAATCGGAGCGGCCGAAATGAGCTTCCTCCACAGGGTGGCCGGGCGCACCCTTAGAGATAGGGTGAGGAGCTCGGTCACCCGGGAGGAGCTCAGAGTAGAACCGTTGCTTCTACACATCGAGAGGAGCCAGCTGAGGTGGCTCGGGCATCTGTTTCGGATGCCTCCTGGGGGCCCTCCTAGGGAGGCAGGCATGTCCCACCGGGAGGAGGCCCCGGGGAAGACCCAGGACACGCTGGAGGGACTATGTCTCTCAGCTGGCCTGGGACCGCCTCGGCATTTCCCCGGAGGAGCTGGAGGAAGTGTCTGGAGAAAGGGAAGTCTGGGCATCTTTGCTTAGACTGCTACCCCCGTGACCTGGTTCCGGATAAGCGGAGGAAAATGGATGGATGGATAACTATTACTTTAAGGAGTAATATAGTAAAGAGTAACTTATTAAACTTCCTGAGAAACCTGTCCAGCACCGATCCTGACAGAATCAGCAAATGTGTGGATTTTTAGTTTTTATTCCCTTATCCTTTTTTTATATTCTTTTGCTTTTCAAAATATATGTTGAAGAAAAAGACTTTCCTTGACAAGTGTATCTGGCTGGCCTGGCGCCAAAATGTTCAGAAACAGCCTTTGTTTGTTGGCACTGTCAGCACATTATGTACAAAAACTACCTACCACTGACAGTCAGGTTTCCATTCTCTGAAACCTCAAACTTCTTGGTGGCAGGCATGAGATGCACCTCCAACTGGACAGAGCCTGAGAGCAATGAAAAGGTGAAGAGACAAGACAGAGGCAAAATAAAAAAGATGAACACTGAACATAAAGTTAAACTGCTCATTGGTATATGACCATCAAAGATCAAAACCATCAAAGCTCTGAAGCCCCTCAGCCCCTGTGCTCACACCCGTGCTGCTCTATTCTCACCGGTCTTTGGGAGGATGGTGGCTTTATGGATGGTGACATCTTCAAAGATTACAGGGGCGTTTTCCATGACAACCCCCAAACTTCTCACCAAGGTACGCCAAGCAAGCACCAGGTAACCCGTCGCTGGGTAGAGGACTCGCCCGTCAATACAGTGTCCAGTCAAGTAATAGTCTGCAGAATCTGGGTTTATGTCTGTTGTACATTAAAGGCAACAGGAGGTCAATTAAAAAAAAAGTGCCCAACTCTTTCCTTAATATCACAAAAAAAGAGTCAATGCAGAATTGCTTTTTAATCCAGATATGCATTTCTTACCAATGTTATAGACAATGACAGAATTAGATCCTCCTGAGCCAGAGATAAAATTCTCAGCTTTGGGTACATCCCAGGTCTGGGCATGGTCCCACTGCACCAAAGGGGAGATCTGAGGGGTACCGACCGGAACAGGGTACTTCACAGCTGGGCAGAGACCATTACTATCTATGTCAATGCTAAAAAGGAACATGACAAAGTATTCTAAAATTAGCAATAAGAAGCTGCACCCAGTAGTGCTCAAAATTGAGAGCGACACATCCCCCATACTACACAAATGTCACTAAATGCAGAGAGGCATTTACTGACCCATTCATGTAGATTTTGCCAATGTTTGAGAGGAAGAACTCGAGGTTGTTGGTATGGTCTCTCTTCATCAAGGGGATGATGGAGCATGTGTGCTTCAGGCTACGCTTCAGGATGGCCTGCACAGAAAACAGGTATTCAAATGTTGAAGTGTATAACGGTGGCTCCCAAAATCCATGGGAATTTTCTTTCACGGCAGCCCAAGGCCATGCAGAATGAGCTCAAATAGCTGCCACTAAGCTCAGGGGTTTAACGAAGGCTGAAGTTGAAAATGCTGGCTGACTGCTCTGGGCTGTTGCTGTGGTCAGTGCTTAAATGTGGACCTTTTCATAATAGTTTCTGCTTTTCAAATGAATTGGCTTCATTCCTCTCAGGCTTTGGCTAAAAACAAAAACATATGAAATGGACAGGACTTAACATTTTTGTGATACTGCCCAGGGATGTGTTCAATTATGTTCTATAATGTTGTATTTCAGCAAGTTCATGTCTATTTGGGGTGATGTTCTCCTAGCTGAGAGTTGTTGTAAGAAACTTCATAAATAAATCCTACTCTGAGGTAGAAGTGTAACTAGCCCTAGTTTTACTTTGAGCATGATTCCTTGGAGGGATTTAGGCCCTTTTCAGGCATGCCCTGCAACACTGAACTTATCCAGACATTACCAAAAGAAGCTATATGTGAGAACACAAATGTCTGAACCAGTTTTCCCAGATGTTACACAGACTTTACTCTGCCAGCTCCCTAATATAAAGTCAGTGTAATGTCCGAGCCCATGTGCAAAGTCATTGCCTGGAGAATTCACACAGACTTAGTGTGTGCGTGTTGATGACCTATCATGTGACTGACAAAAATCTGATGGTGAAGAAGAACAGTCATTTACATGAAGACACAATGAAAAAGTTTAACAGCAAGATCCTCATCTGGATCCGGGCTCACTATAGACTGACCGGATCCAGAGGATCAAAGCACACACCGCCCATGTTGTGTCATTTGACACCTGAAAAATTGAAGAAGCCAAATTTGAAAGCAGACATGTGCTAATGTGAGGAGAGAAAGTGCTCAAACAGATGCTTTTCAGAGGTGTTGCTGTTTGCAGTCTATCACTAACATGCTGAGCATACCTGCAGCAGAGCATGAGGGGCTATCTCCAGCACCACAGCATTTTCAGGAATCAGACTGAGGCCCTCCTGGAAAAGCACAGGGCTCACCAGGTTGTTGACGTGATATTCAGCTGAGCTGTACAGAGCCAGAGGAGACTCCCACTCAGACTGAGGGATGCTGGTGCTCACCCAGCGGAAAGAACGCTGCCGCGGCTCCTTGATCACCTACACACAAATGACATTTCATACTATTTACATGGCAAATATCCATAATAGCCTAGCAACCTAGTAGAACAACAAAGCAGTGAAGAAAGAGAAACATTCTGGATCTAAAGCAGCCAAAACTTTCATCAGGTCACAAATACATTTAAAGCCTTATTACTATCAAATTACAGTGTATAAGGCAGTAACATACATTACTACACCAGATGGTAGTGTGAATAGGTTTTCCAGTCTACCCAGTGGCTGTCACTGTAGAAGCAGGGGTTACAGCTGAACTGTTGCATACTGGTGAAACACAGCAAAGCCAAGTACCTTTTTCAGAGCAGCCAGCAGGGTTGGAGCAATGGAGGCCATGTAGTAGGAATGGAATGCAACACCAGCACTGCGTACTTCTTTTGCAAATACTCCTTGCTCTTTTAGTTCGGACACAAATTTACTGACTGCTTCCTGATGAAACAAACACAGCACAACTGTAAAGACACAGCACCCTGGACCTGGGACCCTAGATGGCTAATAGTCAGTTGTCATCATGCCTACATTAGACAGCTGAGATGCTACTATGTTGTACAAACTGACACCGTTTAGTTCTAAGCATCCTTTTTGATGTTGTAGTGCTATGCAAGTCTGCTGTAGCTCTTGGCAAGCTACTATATTCTTCTTTGTTCTCCTCTTCCTGCTGTTATCTGCCAGAAAAACTTACCATTTCAATCTAAAAGTGAAGGTATTGCAAGTTTGCTGACCAACTTGATTTTCTATGTGCAAAATTTTTCACTATCATGCATCCCTACCTGTAGTCAACAAAACCACTGTAGTGTATGAAGTCTTATGCAAATTATAAAAAACATGTTCCTAACTTTGCAATTTCTCATGTCTCATACTGTATACGCCTCTTCCTTGTCATTCTGAGGACGTTCTGAATTTCTTATTTCTGCTCTGAGGAGCAAGGAGACTGCTGGAGGAGCCATAGACGAGGATACACAAACCATCCATTGTTGAAGTCTGTACTGACGTACCCTTTTATCAAAAATCAGTTGGTGATTGGCCACTTCAAATGAAGGATAGGAGGAAAGGACGGCATGTCATTAATAATGTGTTTCCTTGAGTTCTCTCTCTTCACGTTTTCCTCACATCTTACAAGGACGGGACTAAGACAGAAGGAAAATACCAAAATGAGGGAATTCTAGGGAAACAACGCGCCATATAACAAACTTCAGAAACAGCCTATGTAACTAAACAAAAATTCTGAGATACAGAATAGATTCAGTGTTGTCACATTGTGTAAAATTCAGGCTCTTTGTGTTAAAAGGGTTATAAAAGAGAACGTCTGACAAAATGCTTGACCTTAGGACCAGAGATCGTGACGGTGTCCTCAGCATTGTGACAGGCTGGGACTACTCCTTGAGGACACTGAGCCATGCACTCCCTCCAGGTCAGCCCTGGAACACAGACAGCAAGCACAAAAGTAATAGATGTGAAATAAATAAAAACGAAAAAGAAAACCCAAATATAAAATACAATCAAAATTCTAAATTTAGTTGGGGGGGTACTTTGTGAAGGTTAAGGAACCATCCACGGGGGGTGCCGCAGTGCAGAACATAGGTGATTGGTTAAATATGCGGTGTAAGCATGTCACTTGCATATGTGAGTAAAAATCAGAGTGCCAATTTACAAAATGATTTGGGCGCACTGATGCAACCGACTCCGTTTCTCAGTTTGTAAGGAGCATTTTATCAGTATGCCTACATGAAGAGACCAGTGAGTGAGATCAGTGGAGGAGGAAAATATAGTTTTGGGGGTTTGTGGAGTGACATCTCCTGGTATTTGACCTGCGGGTGGAGATCAGCTCCTCCACACAGGCCGGAGGCCATGGAGGAAAGCACGACTTCAGTTGAAGTAAAACATTACTCAAAGTTAACAATCCCTATTCTTTTTACTGTAGTGCATGCAGCATACTCAGTGAGTGGAAAAATAAAGTGTCCTCCATCACTGGGATGTGTTAACCATAGCAAACATTCTACATGTGACATTCTTACAACCCTGCTGCTGACCGCTAATATGTTCAATCTTCGCCAGGCTGCAAACCTTCTGTGGAAATGCACACCACAACTCGTGCAAGGGACAGTTCTTAGGCTTCAGTTGCTGGGAATAATAAGTGCTGGGAACGTTTTGGTGGAAACACAAACACTGGGCAGTTCCCAGTAGTGTTGCTTTCGTCAACGAAAATTATGACTAAATATCGTGGTCAACGAACCTTTATCACGTGACGAAAACGAGACG